AACAAATGAATCATATGAAACCTGCTACTTCTGCAGACATTTGTTCAAATTATTGAATTTATTTAATTTGAAAACATATGCCAGGTAACAAATGAATCATATCAAAACAAGTACTACATTAGGATTTTTTATCTATTCGATAAATGTATATAAAATAAAAACATATGGCAGGAAACAAATGACTCCTATGAAAAGTTCAATTTTTTAGATGTTTCCATCATTAAATTAATTTATTTAAAATAAATATATATGGCAAGAATAAATGAATTGTATGAAAATTGCAATTTCTTTAGATATTTCCATACTTTAAAGAACTTATTTAAAATAAATGTCTATATTTGGAAACAAATGAATAATATGAAAACAGCATTTTTTTTTAGATATTTATACAAGTTTAATGAATTTAATTTTTAAAAAATAGCATATAGTTGGAAACAAATGAATTGTATGAAAACTGTTATATCTTTGAATATTTGTACACATTGATTATATTATAATAATATGGCATTATAATTATATAATATGACAGATAACAAATGAATTGTATGAAAACAGGTATTACATTAAGTGAAACAAATGAATTGCATGAAGATTCATATTTCTTCATATATTTGTACTAAATTTGTACTAAATTTTTTTGTAATAAATATTTTAATAAATTTAATGAAAGAAGCATATTGCTGAAAACAAATGAATTATCTGAAAAATGTTATTTCAGATATTTGTACTGTTAAATAAAATAATAACATATATCTTTGCACAAATGAATCATAAAAACTGCAATTTCATTAGACCATTGTTGCTTATAATAAATTTATTTAAAAAAAAAATATTGCAAGAAACAAATGAATTATATGAAAACTGTTATTTCTTTAGATAATTGTACAGTTTAGTGAATTTATTTAAAATAAAAGAATATGGCAAGAAACAAATGAATCATATGAAAACTGCAATTTCTTTAGATCAAGCATAGGCAACTTTTTCTAAATAGTGGGTTGCATCAGATATGGGTCATCATCATATGGCAAGCCACACTACTAAAAGATTCAAAGATTTTTCATTGAAGATGTCTCAGCCATTTTCATCACAGAAGACCATATGTATAAGCATTTGCCATAGAAACGGTGAAAGGTTGGTTGTATTTGGAGAAATGATTTCTCAATAATTAAAAAATGAAGTCCCAGTAAAATTTTATCACATGCTGCTGCATGTGATTTGTTTCTTATTTATTCATTTAAAATCAAAAAAATAATTTTTAAATTGAAAAATATATTTCTTTTCTAGAGAAAAAATTAGTTTCTTCTCTAAAAAATATATTTCTTTTCCAGACAAAAAAATTATTCTGAATGTCCATTTTCAAAAGCAAATGATATTTACACCCACAGTCTTTAATTAAAATCACCAATCATTTAAAATGATTAAAACCTTACCTTCAACAAAAAGTTACAAAATTCAAAAAATGTTATGCGTAATCATTGTTTATGTATGTGTTTTTTTTGGTGTTATTTGCTTTTAACCTCACTTCTACGTTTTTGTTTTATTTCATTTCATTTTTTTGTGATAAGAGCCAGTTACCCTCCTTACTATCATGAATCAACTGATCCATTCATGATAAGTAGTCCTGGGTAATTGTCTAAGTAAAAGAAGATGATACTATTGCAGTGACTAGCTGAGTATTGAATACTACTATCATGTCAGTTAAGTGTTGTGTCTTGCCAGAACCCACATCACAACATTTTTATAATCATTTTTCTGTTCTATTCTTTTATATTTTTTTATTTTTCTATTTATTTTTCACTTCATATTCTCTTTTCTTTTTTCTTTCGTTTTAAAATTATTCTTCCTTCATATCCTCCTTATTAATAATTTTAGCATTCATTTTATATCAGTTCTCTGTCTACATTCTGTTTTCCTACATTTTTATGAAGGAAATATATTCTTCCAACATCAGAGAAGGAACAAGATCAACAATTTCTTCAATGAAAATATGCGATGATTGCCACCAACCAGAAATATTTCAGTCACATGTTCTTTTGTGAAATATCTGCATGTTTCCAGTTTGAATGATGAATGATGAATTCTGAGATTCAACTAAATCAGATGTGAAAACAAAACAAGAAATCTGCTATGTCAATAGGATTCGACAATGTGAATTTCAACAATCAATTTCCATGTTCTCTGTGTGAAACATATCTTTCAAAGATTGAACTGTAAGGCCATAAAAGTAAACATTCTAGACCTTTCCATATTAAGAAAATCACCAATGATAATGATAATCTTTTATAGCTTTTCCCATGCTTATATTAATATACACTTCTTGTAGGATTTAAAAACTTCTTATATCACAACCTTAAATAACAAGCAAGGTATATAAAAATAATTAAAAATAAATTGTAAAACACTCCATGAATTATCAAAAGATCAATCTTTTCACAACATTTCTTTATTAAAAATACATATATCCACCAACCAGGAAAGAGTAAGATCCATGGCAATATTTAACAAATAGACAAGCTGCATGAAAATATGATTCAAAAAGATGCATTTATGATTATAAAATGATATCTCAAATAATTGTGGAGAGAGTTTATCATGCCCTGGATAGAAATTATATCTCAAAAGCCTTTGACAAGATCTGATATATAGGTGTCTCCACAAGATGAAAAGTCTACCATTTGTCTATCCTTAAAATATTGCCATCACATATGGTCCGGTGTCCCTGTTATTTACCTTGAACTCCTTAATAAGATCCAAAGAAGAATCAGCAATATTATTGGTCATGATCTGGTGCTTCAGCTTACCCACTGCCTTAAGGTTGCCTCTCTGTGCCTTTTTTATAAATACTTTCATGGCAATTGTTCAGATGAGCTCTTCACTATAGTACCTAGACTCTGTAAATTTAAGCACAGCACCAGATTAGTGTTGAGCTCTCATCAATTTACAGTTGAACTAGTTAGGTGTAGCCATAAGTTCTATGCTAAAAGTTTCTTCTATTGTACTTAACTTGTGAAACTCTCTTCTGGCTCCATGTGTGCCAGCAAACTCTAATCTGCAAAAATTTAAATGCCATGTCAATCAATATCTACTGTCCTCCTGATTACTATTTTCTCTTCCTGCTCATTAATGTTTCTGTTCCTAATTTTTCCACACTCTGTAACCCCTTACGTTTTAGTGGCTTTATTGCCTTACTTGTGGTGACCCCCATTAATATAGGGAAAAGAACAAGTAGGAAACAAATCTTAATCTAACATGTTTCACTTTATTAATAGAAATGATAAACTTTGTATATTCTTTAAACAGCCCAGTGTGTCAAGCATTATAACAAGATGAAGGAAAAGTTGCTTGTCGAAAGAAAGTATAAGAGAAAAACAAACAAAATTTCTTTAGAGGGATTAAATCAGAGGTGCTTGTGGTAAGAGACTATAATGTGTATATCACCACAGGAAAGACCTTTGTCTTGTCATGGACTTGCAATTGTTGTTGGTGGTGTGGTTGTTGACGAAGACGATAATGATGATGATATCCTTTTAGGTTAAAAACCGATGAAATGAAAGTTTATACATATACTGAGATCTAGAGAACAATTTTTTTCATTCACTATTGGTAGATTTTCTTTGTTTGAAAGCAAAATAAATTATCAACATTTTTTTTAAATGTTAACGAACGATGACCCGATGCAAATTGTCCTTGCTATGTTAAAAAAATAATAGTACAATATATTTTTTTATACTTAACTTTTCTCTTATTCTTGATTTTTAAAATGTTTTGCTTTGTACATTTACAGATAAAAAATAAAAATGAAACCTAGGGAGACATTTTCGTGTAAAAAAAACTATATGCATCAATAATGTACATAAAATAAAAAGTACACTTTTTAAATGAAAACTGAAAAGAAAAAAAAACGCGTTACTGAAATGTACACAACGCGGTTTCCGTTTACAGTACACGTAAGGTTATTAATTGTCCTTTTACTTGTTAGGTAAATTTTTCTTATGCTCTTCTTAAATGTTGGCGTGTCATCTTAAATCATTTCTTTTTTTACGTTATGGAAAATCATTGGTTGGTTTTGAATTTTTATTATCTACTATGTAAACATGTACTTAACTGACACGTAAATAGGAGAGTTGTTAGTTGAAAAGTTAAATACTGACTGTCCCTACTTTTACTCCCCCCCCCCACTATGTATGTGTGTGTGTGTGTGTTCGCCTTTCTCCTCGCTACAAACCTGCTGACAAACTAAAAATCATGCATATTCATAAAGAAGAGTTAATACTAGTACACTGTGTATGGTATTTGGTTTCTTATATGTTGTGTTTTAGTGTTTCGTGTTGCTACTTGACACATGTGTGGCAAGAGAGAAAGTGGTCCTAAGTCTGTGTGAGTATTTAAGTTACGAAAGAAAAAAGTTTCTATTTTTGTGTGTCAAAGCACAAAAAAGTAAAAATCATGAACTTAGTCATTAATGATTTTTTAAAAACTTGATGTTGCCAAAAATGACAGGAATAGATGGAATTATACAAATAAATAAATAAAAATAGATCTATTTACACTACAGTAGGTTATTAGTGATATTATAATGAGGGAGCTTGCAGCTGTTATTATTATTATTACTATAACTACTGCTGCTGCTTCCAATGCTCCTCCTGCTACTGCTGCGTGTATGACGTGTCCCGGTTGCCATATTGGAGAATATAGATAGAGAAAGAGTAAGAGAAATATAGGTGGCAACTGAGTGGGAGTGAGAGACCGGCAATACAATTAGCAGCTGGATGGTTTAGAAGATAAAGTAAAATTGAATAGAGAGTGGTGTAACGAGAAACGGATGAATCTTTTCCCCTCTCTGTTAGCGTCACCACCACCACTATCATCTATACAAGTAGAGGACGGCCTCTGAGGAGAGAAAGGAAAAAAGAAAAAGGGGCAGACTCTCTCAGGGACTCTATTTCCCCACTGTTCCGGGCTATGAACTTGGAGAGGGAGACCCCATAACAGCTGCGGGTATGTCTGATCCAAAGCTTCACCAGACTGACCAATATAAAGGCTGGCTGAACAAGTGGACAAATTACCTGAAAGGCTATCAAAGGCGGTGGTTCGTACTCCAGAACGATGGCTTGCTTTCTTACTACAGGTGAGAAAAACAATTTTCGAACGAAAGACTTCGCTTTAAAAGCGTTACTTTTTTTCTTTTTTTTTTCTTCTCATGCCTGTGTAGTAGAAAAGTATTCAAAAAATCTGACCTTACCCTAAAAATGATGATTTACCTTCTGTTATTATTATTATTTTATACTGGAAATGAGATTGTTAATTATTTATTAATGTTCTGTGTGTGTAATTTTTTATATGTTAAGGAGAAAATATCGGTTTTATTCTTCCAGTTGGAAGTTTTAAAAAAGCTACTGTTGTAATTATTTTGTTATGTTGAAATGATGTCAACTTGAACTTGTCCTTTTATTGCAATCCGTTCCATATGATTTTTTTAACACAACACATGATTATTAAACACGCATGAAATGAATGTTCAGTTCAGGTACATTCTTCACTTTTTCTTGTCATGCAAAAATAAACAATTTGCTACTTTTGTCGTTCGAGATTATCGTTATTTTATATTATTTTAAATATCTAAAAGAAAAATGCTTTCGTTGCCCGCTCAGTAGAAAATGTACTCTTGATTCTCCTCAAACGTTAAACATATCATCATATTTTGTTCAAGGTTTATTAGAGAAACCCTGACAAGATGGTTTGTGTGCGATGTTATAGAATTTTTCTTTTTCCTAAAAGACGCCACGTATATAGATCTGTGCCTCATTTTTGTTTTTTATTAAATAATTTGTGTATTGTTATATTGTGTTTTATTCTTTTATCTTTTATTTGCATTTTAATATAATACGAAACTGCCGTAGTTCTTTTTTTATTGGGTGCATACTTTGTAGTATGTATTATATAGTAGTGTTTACTTAAAACTTCAATGTATTTTTAGTCAATAACAAACACTGCTTATAGTCTCGTAAACTGGAAACTATTTTTTTTTTAAATCAGGCGCATGTCTTGTGAGCAAACAAATGCTTCATCGCTTGTGTCACAGCACCTGAGGGTGTTGCCTAGTCCATATTTCACTTCGTCCCCACACAGCTTTTAATTACTATGCAACACCCAAAATAACATTTCACTTTGTATACTTAACATCAAAACTGAAATATTTTAATAAAAAAAATACACATAAGTTACATCATTTTTTTTTTTTTTTTAAATATATTTTATTTTAATAATTGTTATGTTTTTGAAGATCTTAATGTGCTCTGCCCAATATCAGGTGTGGTTTGTTTTAATAATCTCTTCTTGCCAAGCGTACACCAAGAAGATACTGGTCATATCTCTCCAATCACCCAACTACTATTAAAGATGCAACGAAATCACTTTTATGCTATTACCCAATTAGTTTTTTAAGACAGTATATTTTTGTTTCTATCGTAAAAATTTTAATAATTACCGGAAACATTTTTTCTTTTCACTTACTCTTCCAAGGCGTGAAAAATGAGTGTTTTGATGCATGTAATCATGAGGTCTCTTCCATATTAAGTAGAAAATGTGTACGTTGGCCTCGTGTTTGAAATACCAGCTTATCTTCCAATTTGAATTTTCTATTTGTTCAAAAGCTCTACAATCCTTCTTACTCACCCTCCACTTTGAAAGAGTAAAAAAGAAAAAAAAAAAACAAAACTTACATCGTATCGTATCAGATGTCATAAGAAGAAGATGGACCTATAAGAAGTCTCTTTTAGTTTTAATCTTTTTTTTTCTTCGTCTTCTGAGTTTCAATTCGTTAATTTAAAAATAAATATTTGGAAATTCAAGTTCGGGTTATAAAATTAAATGTAAAAAGATGATTACGAAACTGAACTCTCGTGACTGCAAAGTTGAGATTAAGATGGGACATTACATTTTGCAGTTTCATAGACACATTCTCTAACGAGTGGGTAAATTTAAATTTACCCACTCGTTAGAGAATGTTTAAAATTGTTCAAGAAAGACTTAAAAATCTCACACAGAATTTTTACCCATTTTAAAATTTTGTCCTATCCTGATGATACTTTTTGTCATTTTAGATTTAAAGCAGAGTGCAACACCTGTTTTAAAAATCATACAATAATATTTATCTTCTCATAAAATTATGCTTTCTTTCTCTTAACTTCTGAGCATACTGATTATTTGGAACAACCGTATCACACAACAGCAGCTAACGAACATCTGTGTAATTAGTACACTGGAGGCTTATTATCATTGTATTTTTTTTTTTTTTAATTCATCATCTTGACTGTTTTATAATGTTGACTTAGGTCTACTAAATTGATTTGTATTACTTGTGCTTTGAACTTTTGTTTTTGTACTGTTAAAAATTAAAATTATTGCCATTGATGGAAGAGAAAGGCGAGTAGAATACATTTTGCCTTATGTGAGAAGAGTTGTTTGTACCAAAGGAGGTCTGTGTGCCGGTTGCAATATAAATCGTGAAAAACACTTGGAATATTCATTTTTAATTCAGTTTGCTAAAAAAACAGAATATTTTACATTGCATTTATTTATTTCTTATGTGAATGTTTATCAAATTTTATTTGACGCATGTTGCTTACTTGTTGACTTGGAAGGAAATAAATCTGTTTTTCTCTAACTTTGTTTATGATTAGTAGCCAATTTTTTTCTAAGTTTCTTTATAAATTAATTTAGTTTGCTTTTTAAACAAGATTTTTATTTATTTATATTACAAATTTTGTAATCAATGTTTGAAAATGTCTTTGAACTTTTTAACTTTTTTAAGTATTTATAATTTTATTTGCAGTTTGCTCAGCTCGGTTTTATTTTTTTTACAATCGTTTCTAGAAACTTATTTTTATACATACACTTGAACTACACTTTGCAGCTGTTACAAGTCAGCTGTTTATTTATTTTCAACAATTACGTTTTTGTTTCCTGGAAACAGTTTCCATGGAAAGTTGAATTACATTTTGCTTTTAATTAACCTGCAACCCATTAAGACCGTCGAATGTTAGCCAATCTTAATTTTTAAGTAAATAGCGGATTCACAGGAGGAATATCTACATCGATAATATGGTACTAAATTATAAGTAGAAGACTACTCTTCCGATATGTGAACAGTTTTAAGTTTTTTTCTTTACTGGATCTTCCATGTTTCATTAAATTAGACAACTTTCTAAAGCTTCAAAACATGTTTGTAATAAAAATGGTAATTAATGTGTGTAGTAAAGTTTACACAAACATGTTTTGAACAAACATTGCAAATTGTCACTCATTGAATTATGATGACAAGTTATAAAGACAAGGAAAATGAATGTTCCATGTTCTGAAACTAATTTTAAAAGTTCATCTTGACTTAGGTGCACCACTTGATCACCTGTAAGTGTAATCCTACTTCAAATCATACCTCTTTCATTCACCTTGTTAGCATGTCAATTTGTATGAGTGAGTGTAGTTTTCACTAATAATCACCTTTTACTCCATCTAGCATGGCATTTGTCAGTGAAAAGAATATTTGAAAAATTGATCTTTTGTATATTCTGTTGCCCATTTCATTCAATTTTTCTTGTGTCTATTAAAGAAAGTCTAATGATCTGTCTCACATGTTTTGCCAGTTGATTTAAAATTGACCTTGGGTTTTTTTTTTTTTTTTTTTTTTTACACTTCCAAAATCGTTAAATTACATAGATTGACAAACATATATGATAAGTGAAGTCTCTCGATATGGGATGCAGATCATTAACAAGAAGTCCTCAACATGCCCTTATCATACATACATCAGTCATCCAGGATCTTCAAACCTTTCACAATTTGATGGTAACAACTGCTCACTTTTGTGATTTCCACTGTTTTATAAGCTGTTTATAGTTCATGACATTACATACAAATGGCTGTCATTTGTGTTCCATCTGTACAGAATGAACCAGCATTCATCCTAACTGTGCAAATAGATATGGCTTTCAAACAAATAATACTGTATATTGCAATAAGTATTTATCTTGATAAAATATCAAGTGAATGATAATGAGAGATAGTACACATACATTTTTCCCAATCTGATTCTTTTGGAACAAAGAATACACTTTTATAAATACCAGTTCTTTTTACTCTCTTGAAATATAATGCCTAGTATTACATTATTTTTATCTGAAAAACTAAGTTGACAACCTGTATCTCCATTTGAAAATAAGTGAATGGAACTTAAAAAAATTCAAAATGTCATAGGCAAATTTGTTTGGTTTTCAGAATAATGGTTTTCTTATTGCTTCTTATCAGTTTAATAAATGTTTCACATGGATCTTCTGTCTCCCTATTTATAAACTTTTTGACAATTTTCTAAACATTATTACTTTTTGCTAATATAAAAACTTAAACTTTCTCACATTGATAGCTGAAACTGCTTTTATATATATATATATATATAATTTTTTTTTTTTTTTTTTTTTCTAATAAGTTTAGAAAATTATTACATATAATAATAATAATAATAATAATAATTTGGAAATGTAAAATGCTTTAATATTGACGATTCAATGTATTTGCAATGATAATATTTCTATTTCCAAAGGAAAAGTAAAGAAAATAGCAAGAGGTAGTTTAACAGGGAAAATAATTGACTGGTGCTTTATGAAGAAAAGATAAATGATGTCAGGAATTTATATATTGCTTCTGTGAATTATTTCTACCACTTCTACTTATATGACCAATAAAGATATATATTATAATGACTTCTCCATCACAGACAAGCTAACTCCAATCATTGATGAGCCTACTTTGTGTTCCCGATATACAATCCAAATTATCTAAATCTCTTTCCCATCACTTGTCCTGACAAATAGTTTGCTCTAGTATTATCTCCCTTGGGCTCTTCAGATGCTAAACCAAAGGCATCCGCTTTTCTTTGATATTCCAACACTGACTGAAATAGCTTCAGGTCTTTCATAACAGAAACTCCCCTCTCAGTATTCTTTAAAAAAAATAGAGCTGCCAAAACAACATCCCATATTTCTGGATTTGAGTTTTATCCCTCTGCCAATTTTAACAGCAATAGCCATCCTTGGTCCATAGCTGAATTTGCTGCTGCCATATATCCTTACT